ATAAGTTGGTAAAATACCGACTTATCAGAAGTACTGGGCATCCTCAGAAGGTGCGCCACTAAAGTGAGGGAGAAAGAACTTTCTGAACCTGTCCAACCTCTTCAGCTCATCAGCTGAAATCACGGTCCTGTCCCTGGGCAGTGTAGCAATAATAGGCCGAACCCACCCTAACTGGTAGAACTCCTGGGGTGTGATAACCATGGGCTATCTTCTTTTGAGGTATGAGTAGTGGGAGTCCAAAATCCTCCCCCGGTATGAGAAGCGGCTGGTTCCACGGGAAACACAATAACCTGAGCCATACTCTCCATGAAGCCAACTATACAGACCAAGGCGTCCTAAAGCACTGGGTAGAAATGAACCCATCTGGGACCTGAGCCGGTCCTACTGGGTTGACTTGAATCGGAATCTCATCATCCTAAGCTATCTCAAGCTCGACTATGGGTACCGCTGCATGTGTTCTAGGCTGAGCTCTGTGTCTACCTCTGCCTCTGCCCTTTGCCCCCGCCCCTACCCCCGGTAGTAACTACAATCTAGGGTTCAGGATCCTGATCATTTACAGACGAAGCACATGTCTGCATTATCTGTGAGAGAATAAGAGAAGAAAGATTCAAGCTTTACGATAAAACAAAGTCGCGTGATATAGAAAGAAAAAAGTGGAGTTTCCTAAAGCCTTATAGCCTCTAGAAGATAAGTACAGATATCTTCGTACCGATCCTCAAGACCCTACCAAGCTTGCTCATGACTCGTGAGACCTATACAACCTAGGGCTTTGATACATTTATCACGACCAAAAAATTTCCAATCAATCGTGATGGCACTTAACACTGCTTGCTAGGCAAGCCAACATTATCAACAATAAATAAAGCAGTTTAAAAGAAATAAACATCATGATAAGGATAAAGAGGTGAAATCTCATTGCATAATAAAGCCACAATCGACGTTGTCTAAAACTATCCCAAGATTTTGGTGTCACAAATACATGAGCCACTAAAAATACTAATCACAAGTATGCAATGAAAAGTACAATACTGCCTTGCACAATAAACTGTAAGTAAAGATATGAAAGGGACTCCATAGTCTGCAAACACCAAGCAGTACTACCACAAGTCTCCTAGAAAAGGTCCGAATAAATCAGCTCTAAACGATGTTAAGACCAATATCAGGATCTGCACCAGAAGTGCAGAAGTATAGTATGAGTACAAGCAACCCCACGTACTCAGTAAGTATCGAGCCTAACCTCGATGAGGTAGTGACGAGGCTAAGACAAGACACTCACTGTAAATTTGTACGAGTAATGAGTAGAAAGTAATAGAAATATAGAGAAACGATTAAAACCATATTGAACGAAATAAGAGAATAAATAATAGAGGATCCCAGAATATCATCACATTGGGCGCGCAACCAGATCCCAATAACAATACTAATATCGTTGAGGCGCGCAACCTGATTCCTATATCAATAACAGTATCGTTGTAGCGTACCACCCTATTCTAATATATCAGTTCATTTAAAATGCTCAGTAACAATCAGCATGACAAGTCTCACAACACAATGTTAAAGTGAGCTAAAGTGCATAAATTCACCAAGGAAGTACGAGCACAAACATGAACAAGGAAGGTCAAATAGTGCAATGTCCAAGAACTAGCCTCGCAACATATGCCAACAAGACTTAAACAAGTCGTAGCATGAGTACAATCGAAGGTCGCACAATAGAACAAAAAATAATAGAGTAAAACAAGGAATAGGTAAAGATAATAGGGCAAATAAGGACATGAAGCAGGTAAAAATATCTATCCAATAATAGGAAAGGGCATGTAACAAGTAAAGATATACATTGGATCAAAGCATAAGACAAATAGAAGCATGTAACAATTGAAGACAATTAATAAGTGAGGGCATATATGTATCAAGAAAACATGTATTAAATAACGGCATGTAATAAAGGAAAGCACGAAATAAGGAGAAAATTTAAGCCATGAAATAAGCTAGAATACCCCATATAGTTATTCCCATGACAATGCATATACACCCAGCCTAGCATATACGTCGTTTTCACACATAAGTTACATGAAAAACAGATCAATCATGCCCTAATTCCGTCAAATCAAGATTAACCACGGTACTTACCTCTTTCCGGAACAAGATCAACAATCTAACATGGATTTTCCTTAGAACAAGCCTCCAAACACCAAATCTAGTCAAATATAACTCAATTAGACAAATCAAGAGTTAGAAACTATCCAAGTATCAAAAAAAAGTTTGATCTTTAATATATTAGGAAAAGTCTACAAAAAGTCAAATGTTGCCTACGTGGTTGAAATCCATAATTAAAACCAAATCCCGATTATCCATTGACTCCCGAGTCAAAATATGTGATTTGTTTCGAGATCAGATATCAAATCGAGGTCTAAATCTCGAAAATACAAAATCCTAAATTTCTACCCAAAATCTCTATTTCTACTCTATGAAATCTTAGGTTTAATAGAGAAAATTTATGCAAAAGTAATGAATATTGAACAAAAATAACTTAAAATTACTATTCTATGAATTTTGGAAAAATTGCTCTCCAAAATCGCATGTATGTGGACTCTAGGTCTAAAAGATGGGATAAAATGAGCTAAATCACGAAATCTCAACCTTTCACCCAGTTGCACGTATCGCAATTGCAAACTCTTGTTCACAATTGTGATGTTCGCAAAAGCGAACAACTTGTCGCAAATGCAAACAGTCCCTTAGCCCCCTGTTTTGCAAATGCGATGAAACCTTCACAATTGCGAAGGTTAGAACCTGTGCAAATGCGAACAAAGCTTCGCAAAAGCAAAGTTTTCCATACTATGCCCAGTGTGGCAAATGCAACAATTATCTCGCAAATACGAAGTTGTCCAGCCCCTACCCAGCATTGCAAATGCGAGGCCACACTCGCAGATGTGAGGCTCGCATTTGCAAATAGACTCTCGCAAATGCGAGGTTTACTGCACCAGCAAATTCTAAATCCTAGAAAATCAATCCGCAACTCATCCGAAACTCACCCGAGTCTATCGGTCTCCAATACGAACATTCACATAAGTATAATAACACAATATGAACTCTCTCGTAAACTTAAATAACATAATAACATCTTAAATCAAGAATCAAACACCAAAACTCAAAGAAGTTCAAAGTTCATACTTCAAATTTTTAATTTTTCACATTAAGTGTCGAAATGGCTCAGTTCACCAGAGACACCAATCAATCATGCGTACAAGTACAAAATTATTATACGAACTTACTGGAATCGTCAAAATACCGATCCGATATCATTTACCAAAAATATTGACTATGGTCAACTCTAGCCATTTTCAAGTTCAAAAATCAAGTTTTCTTTAAAATTTCACATTTAAGCTTTCCAAAAATAACACAGACATAAATCATCAAATAGCGGTATAAAAGTCTCAAATCATAAAATGGGGAGCTAGTACTCAAAACGGTCTATCAGATCGTTACAATGTTTAAGAGGTTAGCACTTTTATTGTAGGTTCCTATGCTTTGTAGGAGTGTTTTAGCCTTCCAGAGATTTTGTTTTATATATAGAAAATATACATAACTTGAGATGATTTTCTCTTTTCCTGTGTCGACCTATAGATATACTATGTGTAAGTGTGAAACTATGGTAAGTGAATATGTTAAAGGGCGACAGTGTAGACCTAACATCACGTGGAATGATGTTGTCTCTAAAGATCTATAAATTCAATTCGTGGAACCAGTGCAGATCATTTAGCTAAGGATGGAGCACAATGAAAAAAATGATTCATATAGGTGATAGCTAGTTGGGAATGTGAGTCGAGTGCAAATGAATAAGTGAAGATTCATATAGCCGGGCCCAACTTATTTAGGCTAATGCCTAGTTGTCGTTAAGGAAAATACACATAGCTACTAATATGTTTTTATCTATATGTGCATAATACTTGCATGAAATGATTTTTTTTTTTAAATGAACGTGGTCGGCGAGAATTCAAATAGCTGCCTCAACATTGTTGGGATTGTTACATAGTAATTATTATTTTTGTTGTTGATCCATTACTTTTATTTATAAGAAGATGTATTAAAACTTAAATGATTTTAGATATTTTTGAGATAATAGACGTAAGAAATAACTTGAAGTGATAAACTAAAAAGTAAAAAGAAAGGGAGGCGTGAAATAGTTAAATGTTGTTAATCAATCCGTTTCAATTTAGATGAGCTAGTTTGATTCGATACGTAGTCTAAGAAAAAAAACACTTTTGAATTTGTGGTCTTAATTAAAAGATTAAGGGTAAAAGCTTTGTGGGACCATGATATTTGTGTAGTTATAAAAATTTCTCATTAAGGGTAAAATGTATAAAATGAAGGGTTTACAGTTGAATTATTTCCAATTGTAGAAATGTGTCATTCTTTCTAAAACAGACTAATAAAGAAAAAGTGTCATCTAAATTGAAACAGAGGGAGTATTATTTAAAGGTATTGGACTTGTTTATATCTGTAAACGGATAGTTGGCACTTGTTTAAATCTGTAAACGGATAGTTGGCAAATGAGAAATAGTTCTTAGCCGATTCATTATTTATTCATATAATTTAATAAATAAAAAAATGTATGCAGGTTACAGCTATAATGGTCGTTAATTATTTATTCAGCCACGGACCATGCGTGTTCTATCTTTCAGCGAACGAAATTGGAATGCTACAGCTATGCTAGTTATTCATTTCATAAAGATTTCTGTGCTCTTAATTAAAGGTATTGGGTTTTTAAACTGAAGTCTCTTTAGGAAGGAGCACTAAATCTCCATATAGAGCATTATAAAATCACGGGCGAAAAAAATACTTTCCGTTTCAATCAAGATGAGGTAATTTGATTCGACATGAAATTTAAGAAATAAAAAAAAGCTTTTGAAACTTATGGTCTTAAAGTTGAATTATTTTTAATTATAGAAATGCGTAATTATTTTTGGAACGGACTAATAAGAAAATGCATTACATATACACATTATCACACACGGAGTAATTAAGCTAAAGGCATCTACATATACACATTATCACAAGCTACATGCGTCCACAAATCAGTCATAAGCCATTCAAATGGGAAATGCAACTAACAGCGCAACTACCAAAAGGGAAAAGCAAAGGCAATTGCCTAAGAGGATCATACTGGTGCGGCATGGTGAGAGTGAAGGGAACTTAGACAAAAATGTGTACGCCATCACACCTGACCATAGAGTCCAACTCACAGAGAAAGGCAAAGAGCAAGGAAAAAAGGCCGGGGAGATTATCCGCGGCGTGGTTTGTGACAAAGGAAACTGCACTAGTAAGGTCTATTTCTATGTATCTCCATTTTTGCGTACCCGGGAAACACTGAAAGAGATAGGCGCTGCGTTTTGTAGCAGCGAGATCATAGGGGTAAGAGAAGAATGCAGGTTAAGAGAAATGGACTATGCCAAATTTAGGAATACAGAGAAGATGGAGGAGTTTAAGAAGGAAAGAGAGAAATATGGAAAGTTCTTCTACCGATTTCCCGGTGGAGAATCGGCCGCCGATGTGTATGACCGGGTTTCAGGTATCTATTCAAGTAAATCTTGTTAAAGAATTGCTCTTTATGTGGATGTTTTGTTTCTTGGTATGTTGAATCCTGATGTGGAAAAAAATACATAGGTTAAAGTACCTTATTTTCATTTTTGAAATGCAAGCTAGTTAAGATGTATATTTAATGGTAAAAGACTGAAACCTTAAAGGATTAGAGCAGATCATATTGGAAAACAAACAAAGAATACATGTTTTTCTTTTAGAACTGGATTAGGGAAGTAGATTCTCAAGATATAAAAAGTGAAGCGCAGTCAGTAGTTTGAATTCAGCTACTGTCAGTCGTGGTTGTTAATCTATCATCTATGGCCAGCGGAGCCAACATCTCCGATTCCTAAACACCATTTCTCTAGCGAAGTCGTTGAAGGCTTCGTCTGACTATCCAACATCTCCGACTCCGGTGGATGGAAATTACATTCATAAATGGTACAATTTTTTAATACAGCATCCTATAAGAGTCTTTGAGCATGGGTGCACACACATATATTTAAGTAAATTTGAATAAATATAGTATTATTATACATGGTTTAGGAAAAAGAGTATGGGTTCACGTGAACCCATACCCCTCAAGTTGGATACCCCTCTAGATAAAAGGTTATACTAAAACAGATAAATATAGCTTGAATTCATATATATTTTCTATATGTATTTAGTACTCCATCTATTTCAATTTAGGTTAACCTATTTGACTAGACAAAGATTTTAAAAAAGAAATGAATTTTTTGGAACTTGTGGTCTTAAACATATCATAATATCTTTGTGGGTTCTAAAGCTTATCATTTAAGGGTAAAATGAGAAACTTAAAATACATTGTTTTCAAATTTAAAAAAAAATTATTCTTTTTTGAACGAGCTAAAAGTTATAAAGATTCACATAAATTGAAAAGGTTTTAATTTCATTAATACAGGTTTTATCGATTCTTTATGGAGGGACATAGACATGGACATGATTCCCTATGGTGCCAACGACAACGAGGACCTAAATGTTGTTCTAATCAGTCACGGACTGACCATTCGAGTGTTGCTCATGAGAATATTCAGATGGACGCCAGAACAAGTTGATAATTTAATAAGTCCCAAAAATGCCGAGGTTCGAATTATGGAGTTAGGGCATGAAGGTGAGTACAGCCTTGCGTTACATCATGATGATCAAACCTTAGAGAAATGGGGACTTTCTGCTGAAATGATTGTTGATCAAAAGTTGAGGGCTTATGGTCCTGTGGTTGACCTTGACAAGTGCTTCTTCACACGTTACTTTGACCGTCTGGCCGACAAATAATTTTGAGGATGAGAAAAAATGAAGTAATTTAACCAATAATTCAACTATTCAGTTGTTTTTGCGGAAGGTTATGTACCAAACTTCTGCTTTTGTGATTTCCATAATTTTATGTTGTAAAACCATTAAAATTATTTTGGTTTAATCTGCTTGTCGTATAATATTTGGGTTTTAAAATAGAATTAAACTCTTTAAAAAAAAAACATTTTTGTTTTGGGTGAAAACGACCATAGCACTCACAGTTGGCATCTGGCCGTGTTCTACAAAATTTGAGCATGTTTTATGTGATGTTTAAAGTTTGAATATTTGCTTTATCAATATACAGTTACTTTCACATCATTAAGGCAAAACTCGATTGATCCATTGTGGTAATTGTTAGAAATTGAGAATAGTTAGCACTCCATTTGAGATGAGTAGGTATATTTCCCCTCAATGTTATACAAGAAGAAATAGGCTGTTTTATGCACTTCTTTTATAGCTCGAAATAAAATTTCACTACAAGAAAATCGACCAAAACCGACCGCGGCCAACCGATCGAAGTCGGCCGATTTTTTAAAGTAATTTATTTTTCAGTTTTTTTTTTACGAAATCGACCAACTTCAGTAAGTTATTTTTGGCTAAAAAATGCAGGAAACTATTTGTGGCGTCCCGCGAAATTTATTTTTTAAGAAACCGACCAACTTTGTCGGTTTTTCATGTAAAATAAATGATCACGCCCAACTATGCCTTATAAAAAGGACTCTGCGGACGTTGCAAATATAACCCGAGTATTACGCCCAGGGTCGAATCCACAGAGAGTTAACCTATCAACCACTATCTTCAGACCCACTAATTCTTCATAACCAGCTTCCCAAATATTCAAATCTCAGTTGAATGTTTTTTAACAACTACGCTTGCAAGTAACTAAATAGCTGTAAACTAAACTAATAAGGTTGTAAACAATTATGATAAAAAGCTAAGGCAATGATTTCCCCTATTGATGGAATCCCTTCTGTTTATGCTCATACAAATTTGCCAACACATCTCTCTCAATCATGAACGCTAATCTTACCGTAAATCTCCCGAGTAATCACAGTAATTTACTATTGCACTCTCCCGAGATACACTAGCTTACTTTATTTAGCACGATTCACTTTAGATTACACCCAAGGCTTCGTTATCCCTAATCCCGCCTTTAAATCCGCAATTATAGATTCCTCTAATAATCTAGGAGTGGTGTTGTTCAACAATACCCTAAATATGCACTCTTTTCCAAGTTATGCACACTAAATAGGCACAGCTAATTGAGGATCCTGTCAATTAACTACAACAAACACAAAGTTGAACAAATAGAGATTAAACTAGCAATTTGTATTCACATAAACAAGAAGTTCATCACCCAATAGGTTCCATCAAAACCTTAGACAGGGAATTTAGCTACTCATGGCTATGGGAAAATAAACTAAGATTGAATTCATCATAAAAATCAAAAGTAAAGAAGAAAGATGTTTGGAATATTCTCTTACAATGGTTTTCCTTGCTAAGAAACCTTAAAAATCAATACATGCCTCTCTTGGGCGAAGTCTAATGTTTTAAATAGGGTTTAGGTCTAAAAATCCCGTATTTTACACTTTAGTCCCTGAAGTTTTCTGCGTCCGCCGCGGTTCTGCCGCGGTCGCGATCAAACCGCGGCCAAAAGCCTTCCCAGAATCCTGAATTTATCCGCAGCTATCTTCCACCGCGGTCGCGGTGGAACCGCGGTCAAACCAGTTCTCTGAATCTTCAGGCCTGTTTTGCGTGGTGTACTTGGGGAATTTCACAGTTGGCCTCTTTTTCTTCAATTTTGACTCCAAAACTGCTCCTTAGCCTTCCTTATACATATATCACCTGCCAATCATGAAAATCACTAATAAGAGCATTTTGTTATCACTTTTAGCATTAAAACTACACAAGAAGGTGATTATTTAAGGTGTGATTATAGTCAAATTCGCCTATTATCAACACCCCACACTTAAACCTTTGCTCGTCCTCGAGCAAACTAAACCACACTTCTAGGCCTAACTGCTCAATGCTTTGCCCCAATTTATGTCACACCTGCTATTATTAATGATCGACCTAAGCAGTGCACAATCATATCTCAAATGCAGACTCTCATGCCAAGACACACTTGTGCTCACTCTAATTACTCTAACAGAAATGAAGACTCACTTTTTCTTCCTGAGTCACATGCCCTTGCATAAACAAAATCTGAAAGAAGTTCCACACACATAAAATTCAACAACAAGGAACCATATATAGAAAGAATTCACTCACTCTCAGCAAAGAGCATTCACATGCCACACAGACACACCATAAGTTTGCCTCTAGTGTAATACTCTACTAATCGAGCCATTCAGTCAAAGATCAAGAGGTCTTTATAGGTTGTAATGTAGGCTAAGGGACGGGCAGGATATATTTGGATATAGTGACTAACCTCCCTAAGCACTTTTAATACACACTTCCTTTTATTTCACCTTTATGTTCAACCCAATCATTATTCCACATTTTGTTTCACTTGTAACCCCCACTTTTCTTTAGGTACAACTGGCTTCTTCTCTCTTTTTTTTTTAAGATTTATTGTACACTGCCAGTTCACCAATCAAAACCTTCATCCTTAATTCCCCTTTTTTTTTTTAACTCTCTCACACCCCACACTTTGACTTTTGTATATTCTTTAGTGATTCAAGTGCTTCTAGGAGGTGAAGGTTCAAACAATTAAGTTTATTCAAACACAGCGATTTAGATCGTTATAGGGTTATCAAAGAACAGGCTTCAGGCTCAAAAGGGGTTAACTATGGTAATATGCACAAGTGGATTCTCAAGTATAGAGGGTTGCACAAAGAAATGCCTCAATCATTTCTAAAACCAAACGACTTCTATTTCGCTTTACAAACACACAGGTCAAGTTCTAGGTATCATATGCAAGCATAGGATGCAAGTAACAACTCACACACACTTAGCATGTAACTCATTCCGAATCAGTTCATCAACACAATCATACGAGTGTTCAAGCAAGACAAGATGTGCAAAATTAAGGCATATATTATGAGTCCACAAACAAGCTTAGACGTCGCACCCTCAGTTCGTTTTTGTTATTCTCAGGTGTGTACATCTAGGGTTGCATTCTAGCCTTCACCCATCTTGGTCCTAAAACTACAAAAGAAAAATCTACCTAACCCGGTTCAAGAAAAGCCCTTGGAAAAGAACCGTGGTCAAAAGAAAAACCAAGGGAGAATTACTACACTACCTTAAAAAAATAAAATAAAATATAGAAAAATCTACCTGGACTACTTCCCTCAAGAGTACTGTCCAAGTGGTCCGTCCTCAGGAAGAGTCCTCTACCTTTTTTTTTTTTTTTTATATATCTGACTTTGACCCTCAAGAGACCCGTCGACAAGTGTCCGTCTTTGGGCCAAGTCAGCTACTCCTAATATAAACATACTCAAATATATACAACACATCACTCTAATGTTACAGCACAACAACATCTATATACATTCCAATACACAGTTAGAACAAGTCTCCCACCCCACACTTAAAATCATGGCATGTCCCCATGTCATATCAAGAAAGTAAAGAGCAGAAGGGTTAGAAGACTTCCCTGAGACTCAATCAGAGTCGGAGACGGTGCTGGGGTCTACATGGCAAGCTCTCCCCAATGCACGTAACCAGGCCATAAACCGGCTCTCAGATCTAGACTGCCTCTGCGACATGGCGTCCATCTGTGTGTGTAGGCCATCCACCGAGGTGCGGAGATTCGCGACCTCTTCCTCCAAGGAGCGCAGCATAGGCTGGGAGGACTATGAGCGTGATAGGCCTGCTCCAGAATGGGAGCGTCGAGAGGGCCCGGCACTGTCAATAGACCTCCTGGACGGTGCAAGAGGAATCGGATCATCATCCTCATCATCTATCTCAATTGTGGTGCGTGTACCCCGGCCCACACTGATGCTAGAAGCTTTGAATGCTGCTTTGGGTGGCAAATCTCCATCGGCAAGATTGGTGGGGGTGTTTCTCATCAAGCACAATGTGGTTACCAAGGAAGGGAAATAGAATCCCTTTGTCAGCAGCGGTCCCCGTAAGACCATTTCATCACCAATTATCCGGGCCGCATCAAAATCCTTTCCTGCCACAAAGCACCAAGTCAACAATGCCCGATTGAAGTTCACGTCCGTTGTATTGCTGGATGGCAGGAACCTGCTGCAGATAACAGTCAACCAACACTTGGCCAAGTGGGTGAAAGAGTTAGAGTTGAGGGTTATTTGGTCACGTATCCAAATGGGTTGCCCCCCTGTGCAAAGTACATCCGTCATGACCTCCCATGTCACCCGTGGTCTGTCATGGTAATAGTCGACGTCACTGGTGAACGGAGGTAGCCGCAACACCTGGCGAATTGTTGGAACTTTAGCATTGACCACCGTACCCCGAACAATCACATCCCTACCCAAGTGCAATGGGCAGTTGGCGTAAAATTCTCGAACCAACATCTTGTTAACTGGTGCAGGGTCATTAAATAGGAATTCCATTTCCCGCCTCCGTATTTCTTCATACATCTCCACCTTTTCGGCTCGAAGGGCTACCCGATCAATCGGGATCTCATGGATAAAGGTCTTTGTAGCCTTGGCGTTGAAGTCGTCCTCCGCCAGTTCCGATTGGAATCTGGACTCATCATAAGTAGGTCGCTGGGATGGGCCTCCAGATCGCCTTTGTCTTTTGGGAGCCATATGACCTGCAAATAATCAAACGAACCATCAAAATATGCCCTAACTAGTGCCAATCAGATGGTTACTCAGACTTCACCACCCGATGACACCAAATACTTCCCCTTAATTCATTCATAACAACCTCCACAATAGCCCCATAATTTTCTTACCACTTCCGGCATAATACACCCCACACTTACTCCTTTCAATGTTACACATGAGATATAACACCACCATATAGCAACTACCACCATACCACCAATCAACTACACATCATCAACCATCAATTACAACACCCCAAACCTAGGTTGGGCTTAAAACACCCCAAAAATATACAGCATAGTACCAAAATTTTCGGCCAACACATGACCCAATACCATACTACACCACAAAAATCTAGTTTAGGCCTCCAAACTACCAAAACCACTTCACAATTATTTAAT